ACAAGAAGGTTGTTAACATTAAATATATTAAAAAAGAAAGAAAAAAGATTGAAGGAATATTTAACTTTTGTTGTGAACCTTAAAAAAAAAATTAAAAAAAAAGGTTGTTAACATTAAATATATTAAAAAAGAAAGAAAAAAGATTGAAGGTATATTTAACTTTTGTTGTGAACCTTATAAAAAAAAATTGTTAACATTAAATATATTAAAAAAGAAAGAAAAAAGATTGAAGGTATATTTAGTTTTTGTTGTGAACCTTAAAAAAAAAAATGGTTGTTAACATTAAATATAAAAAATAAAAATGGGGATTAAAGTGGGTTAGGGAAAATCCAAACCCATTAGGAAATGGGGAGGGTGGTACCCATGGGGAATGGGGAATGGGGAATGGGGAATGGGAAAAATTTATTATAGGGGAATGGGGATGGAGAATTAATATCCACCCCATTTATCCCCATTGCCATCCCTAAATATCATATTAAATCCATAATCATTTCATTTTTTCTCTCACAAACATCACATCCAACTACAAAAAATCTAACTATTTTCTAAACACAAAAATTTTAGCCTACTAAAATAGTCAAAAACTAAAATAGCCTACTAAGCCTCCGTTTGGCAAGCAAAAAGCCAGGCTTTTTTGGCTAAAATAGCCACAAAAAACAAAATAGGCTATTTTAGCCACAAAAAACAAAACATCAAATCCAACCCATAATCATTACAATCCCCTCTCACAAAAAAAACCAAAAAAGTCAAAAAGCCAAAAAGCCCTTCCCAAACCAGGCTAAAATAGCCCAGGCTAAAATAGCCAAAAAGCCAAAAAGCCAACCCACTTCCCAAACGGAGGCTAAAGGGTTCGTTTGGGAAGTGGGTTGGCTTTTTAACTTTTTGGCTATTTTATCCTAGAGCTAAAAAGTCTTGTTTGAAAAGGATTTTTTTATTTTTTATTTTTGTCTTTTTTGACTTTTTATGAGAGAGAATGTAATGATTATGAATTGGATGTGATGTTTTGTCTTATTGGACTAAAAAGTCTATTTTATTTTTTTGTGGCTATTTTAGCCAAAAAAGCCCAAACCCTCCCTTCCCAAACGAGTCCAAAATTGCAACTTTCCAAACACTCACTTTATGTAATTTATATTAGAATAAGACATTTGAATTTATAAAAAAAAATCAAATAATTTATAAATTCATTATTTAAGATTTATCGGTTATTCAACCGATAATAAAAATAAAATAAAATAAAAATAAATAAATAAACTGGCCTATAATGCAGCTGATTTCGGAAGAATTAATAATTAAACTCGTGGCTCCGCTCTCATTGGATCGAAATACTTTTTGTGGGCCCAACGTTCATAAAACCCAGTGCATAGCAACCAATGCCATCCATCCATTTGGCATTCCCTCCAGCTAGATCAAAGGGCATTAACATAATTACAGTTCAAAGGCAGCGCCAATTTCATATTCTCTTCTCTCCCTCAAAACTCAAAAAGGGAGCTTCTATTAACACACATCATTTCCTCTATTACCACATACTTAACGGTATTTTTTTTATTACACTTTTGTTCCAAAATAAAATTCCCAAAATATCTATTTCTTCTTCAACCAAAAATCCTAATCCTAATCACCCCCTCCGTCGCCTCTCCCACCAGCCCCCTCTTCTCGAATCGAAGCCTCTCCTCACTTCATCACTCGTCGCTCACACTCTCCAATCCCTCTTTTCTCTCGTTAAAGCCCCCTTCCTGTCATCTGCAACTCTCTCTCTCTCTGCGGCCACCTTCGAACCAAACACATTGATTCAGAAGTACAGTGTCGAACCAATGTGTTTTATTCGGATGTTGAAGGTCGAACTGATGTGTTTTGTTCGGATGTTGATGGTCGAATCGATGTGTGATTTTCGACCCTGGTTTATCGAACGGTGAGTGTGTCGCGATGGTGGGTCGCCACTGCGATGATGGTAGTAACAGGGACGAGGGGTGGTCGGCAGAAGGGTTGGACGGGTGTGTAGGCTACAACGGTGGGTGGAGGAAGCGGCGACTGCGAGGGCAGCCATGGTGTCGTCGACGGTAACTGGTTTAGGGTTAGGGTTTGGAGAATGTTCATCTAACAAATTGGACGTTAATATCTGTTGGTCTTTTTGGAAAAAGCAACATTCTTGGCTAATTTTACTTCGGCTTTGTTTGTTTCAACATGCAACATTTACATTTCATGTAGAACATGGATCAAAGTAAAACCCTTCTTAAGGTGTGTATAGAGAAAATGTTCTGTGTGCAAATAGAAGCTCCCACTCAAAAGCCACTTCTTTCACCTCTTTCAGCCTCCGCCTCTCCCTCTCTCTCTCTCTCCTCTCTCCGCCGCCATGGCCGCGCTTCGCCGCTTGATACCGGCGGCGCAACCAGAGGCCCTCCGCCGTCTGGGGTTCATCGACAGCCGAGCCTATGGATCGGCTTCTGCGGCTCAGCTTCAGTATGATTACGACTACGAAGAGTACTCGGACGACTCGGAGGGATCGATTCCAGGAAGAGGAGTGCAGTGGGTGATCATGGGGGATCCACTGGCGAAGAAACAGGTTTATGCTGAGAGGCTCTCGAAGCTTCTTCGAGTCCCTCACATTTCTATGGGCTCGCTTGTTCGCCAAGAGCTACACCCTCAGTCTTCTCTCTACAAACAGGTTCAATTGTTTTCTTTTCTGTTTGGTTGCCGAGAAAATGTGGCAATTGGATTTTTTTATGTTTTTAGGTTTCCACAGGTTATATGTTTTGATTTATCTTAACTAATTGTACCAATTTTGCAAAATATTTGAACGAATTTGAGATTATTTGATGCTTGAAGATACCCGAATTGTATTTATCAAAAAAAAGGAAAAAAAGAAGAGATACCCGAAATGTAGTACAAATATATGGAATTTTGAGTTCTTAGAGGCAAATCATTAACAGCTTCTTCTTTTTTTAAAGAAAATGTCTCGTAACTCAAATTTTGTGGCTCAAAAGTGGCTCAAATTGTCAAAACGACGTCGTTTTGGGCATTTTTATGTTGTTCTGTACTCAAAACTACGTCGTTTTGGCCATTTGAGCCACTTTTGAGCCACAAAATTTGAGCTACGTAGCATTGTCGTTTTTTTAATTAACCTTTTGATTGTATTAATGTATTTGTTTATTTTTTATGGTGAATTTAGATTTCAAATGCTGTGAACCAACGGAAGCTTGTTCCAGAAGATATAATTTTCGGTCTGTTGTCCAAGAGGTTGGAAGAAGGATACTCCAAGGGTGAAACTGGGTTTATTCTGGATGGAATTCCTCGTACAAGAATGCAAGCTGTAAGTTTTAGAGTTTCTTTCTGAAAAATTTTCTCTTTTTTGGGGAAGAAACAAATACCCTTTGATTAGTAGTTCCAGAGGCCAATTCATTGGCATTGACAATAGAAAATTAAATTTTCTATTTAGGTTGTAATTACCCTGAAATTATGTCTGGCAACGTTTAGTTTGTGTTGATTTCTTTCATGGTTGGGCTCGGTAATGTTTACTATTTGGATTGTTAATGTACTGCAGGAGATCCTTGACCGAATTGCTGATATTGATTTAGTTGTGAATTTCAAATGCTCAGAGGAGTGCTTGTTGAAGCATGTGAGAAATGGAATATATTCTACTGGTCAAGAATTTCTGAGCATGGGATCTTCCGGTGCTGATGTGCAAGGTGCTTGGAAAGAGAAACTTTGTATTCATGCAGAGCAGGTATACTTCATAATCCATACTATTACTTCTAGATCAGAAACTAAACTATGGTGACAAATGTGCAAATTTAAGATACTTCTTTATTACCCCGATTTGATCCTGAGTATTCATAGTAACCTGCAACAAGTTATGTTCCATCTATCATATTGTATTCCAAAAATAACTAATAAACTATGGGTGTTTTTTGTGCTCTGTTTGTACGAGTCTGATGCTCTTTTTAGTTCTCTTAATACATTCTACTTGGGACATGACTGTACACTTCAAATTTTAAGAGATATTTTCTCATTTGTGATTTTAATCTATGACAAGGGGTAGTAAGATTTGAAGTTAGCATCTTTTCTGCTCAAGAATTGCATGAAAGACACTTTTCACTGATAAAGCTATTGATTTATCTATTTATCTTTTCAGAGCAAACCATTGGTAGACTACTACAGAAAACAGAAGAAGCTTCTTGACTTTCAAGTGGTTGGTGCACCCGGAGAAACGTGGCAAGGTCTCTTGGCAGCTTTACATCTTCAGCATATGAATGCCGTCAATACTTCACAGAAGTTGACTGCATGATTTGTCCAATGCGATCTTCAAATTTACTTCATTTTTGTTCAGGCTCTATATTAAACATACGCAACTTGAGTGTAGCATAGTTGGCTGGAGTTTTCCACTTTGACAAATGTCCAGCTTAAGCATAGTTTTGAAGACTTCATTGTTTTTCTTTTTGTTTTCGTTTTCTCTTTTCTTTTTCCCCCATTTTTGTTTGGAAAGTGCAATGCATTTTTGGTGATGCTTTGTTTGTAATCTTGTTCCAGCAAGAAGCTGAATGGTGGAGAAGGATATTGGCGATTTTGAGCATTATATGAAGTTAGCCTATTATTTTATGTTTTGGTATTTGTTTTGTTTTGCTTTACGATGTATGTTTTTGTGCCCTCGTATACATTCAACGAGTATTTTTGGCTTGTCTCTCTTTCTCATAATATTTGAATCTTCATGATTAGATCTTGTTCTCTGGTTCCTGAATTCAATGGAAACTTGAAATATATTATTTATAGATCCGAGAGCTTTCCTAGAAGATTTCGAGTTTCACAATAGCAGGAGTGGAAAAAAGTCGTGTTTATTTGCAGCACCGGGAGGGCTAACTCATCCAGATACAATTCAAGTGTTTTGAGTAATGGAAATCTTCTTTGTGTTAGGTTGTAATATGTATTTGGGAGTTGGGATTAGGATTTGAAACATAATTTGGCAAATTTCTTAAATTCACACCTTGAGACAACTTTAAGCACAGTAACCAAAGTTCGAGCACGCCAACACAATGATTTCCGAATTTTTGCTGTATGACCTTTGATAATATTTTCTTTTCAGAAAAAATAAAAAATAAAAAAAAATGCAACACTCGAAATTATCACCTCCAAAAGGGAGTGGCTATTTTAGCCAAAAAGTCAAAAAGCCAACTAAAACTAGTCACATCACCTTTTTACTTTTCAGCACATCTTTTCGTAAAAAGTTAAAAAGTTACTAAAATAGCCTGTTCCCAAACGAGGCTATGTATTTAAGGGTGCTGTTATGGTGTGCAACCCCTTAAGGTTGCACACCATGTGCAACCAACACAAAAGGTGTAAATGGAAGGTGTAAACATAAAACAGGGCAGCAAATAAAAAGGCATAAGTGTAAGGCGTAAGTTACACACTTAAGAAAAGTCCTATACTGGAACATCAATAACAAGGCACAATTACAGCTTTCCATGCGCACACACTAAAAAGAAAAAGATTATGTATACTCGTATATACATACACACTTCTTGTTATTTGTCAGTGCCAACTAAAAGGGGTCTATGTGTAGACAACATTGCAACTGCCATTTACTTTTGATATCAAGCAAAAATCCCAGAGACTGTCTATTCTTCAAAATTATAGGATGCTTTGAATCTGTCAAATCTATTACTCTTACTCGCTGTTCATCCATACCTCCCGAAGAAGCTGATACCTGACAGCATTTTGACTTCCTTTTTCCTTTGATATCCAGCTGGGTTTTGTCGGAGTAGGTGAAGCCTGGAAGGTCTCGACAATGGCAGTTAAGGGTGAATCCAATTCATCAAGCTCGTCATCACTAGTGTATGATTTCTTGAGCACTGAGGACCTGCTTCTTGTCAGCCGAGATTGACTGCCAATGTCTCCTATAATAGCAGCAACAGAAGATACTGGAGGTGGCAAGTAGACTATTGGAGCTGCACTGCACGGGAAGTTTGTGATCAAACCTACCTCGGCCTCAAGAGGATCCTGAATCAAATTAAACCAAAAATAGTACTGCAGTGAATTTTCAAAGTAGAATTTATAAGCTCAAGTGTTTTATTACCATGGGAAAACTATGACGCATACATGTTTTTTTGTTTATTTTTGTTTTTCAAATACTTGGGAACTCTCTTGGAACCACAAGGTTTATCCATGTTTAGATAACTTGGTTTTCAAAGGGACAAACCTCAGAATCCAGAGCTTCAAGGACAACCTTAGGAATTGGGTCCGGGCAAAATTCATCTGGGATGAAATTGTTAACAACCCTCTTGATCAGCGGCGGACCAAATATGGGGCATACCTTCAAAAATAAAAATAAAAAACATTTGACACTGATGACAACAAGTACAGCATCTATGGATCATGTGGACAAAAGACAAACGGAGGGGTTTAAAAGTTTCAGAGTCGAACCTCTTTTCTGGTTGACTGGCTTAAGAGCATGTCCTTTGGAAGCATCATGAGGTCACTCAGTGCATTCAGAAGATGGAAAGACTTGAACGATGTATCGTGGTCTTTTCTTGTGCCATCATCATCATTATCACAGTCATTCTTGTCATCAAGTGAGTCATCATCGTCAAGACCAAATAGATCGGTAAGCCATCTAGACCAGGTCCCAATCTGTCATCCAGAGCACACAAGTCAGTCATTAAGATCATATGGAGCCAACAGCAGCGATTCAGAATTATTAGCATTTACAAATAAATGAGTTCAATATCAGCGGGATAGATTTGTAATTCTCACCACATTTTTGAGTTGTGCACCAGCCCCAAAGCTTGCTTTCCCTGCTGGAATAGGAAGAACCTTGGCATCGCTAATGGCATCAGATACAGGATCGGTTGGAATTTCGTCATCAGATTCACGAAGAATAGCATTCAACATTGCCACGTCCAATCTAGCCACACATTGCTCCATTATCTAGTCAGAATTGGAGTAACATGTTAGTAATTTTCATTCTTTTCAATGGGTCCAACAAAATATATGAAGTGGAAGCTATAGCTTCATAAGAAAACAGATTTTTTTGAAAAAATGGGCAAAATAGAGCTTCAAGGACTGGACAGATACGCCAAACCATTGTGCATACAGAGACAGGACATCTCTACACATTTGAGAAAGGGGCAAAAGACCAGGTAATGCTCAAGGATTGTAGGAGTAATTTGGGCATAGAAACACGGTATGCTCCTAGACGTGTTCTCCTTAACAATGAATCGGCAAAGCATGGGTTCCAACATAGCATACACAACATGAATCTACGCCATAGATAGTCCCTAAGAAGCACGGATACAAACATGTGATACAACACCAACACGGAAATTTTCACAAAAATATAGGACACGACAAGTGGGAGACATGTGCAAAATATATAATTTTATATATTTATTATGTTACATATAAAGATATGAATATTTAACTCAAAAGGAAAATAGAGCATATAGAATTTACCAATCTAGCCAGCACGGGTAAGCAACCACACTCGTGCCCTCCAGCTCGAACAGGACAAAGGCGTTCACACGCATCCTTGAAAGCCTTCTTCCAGAGCTCTAATGAAAAGTTTACCCTCTCTTGATCACCTGAACTAGATGTCCTTCGATAGGTTTTACTTGCTTTGGAAGCCATACCTGAACTTATTGCCTTGGCAGCAGCAGTTTGCATATGTGGTGTTAAAGTCTGGAGAAAACATACAACAAAGTCAGGTCAGCCACATTAAAGGGATTCATTTAGCCTGTGTTTGGATATTGGATTTGGATATTTCCTTTCCCTCCACAAATCCCTCACCAAATCGTAGATCCAAACACAGCCCTATGATTCACCTAATATTTGTAATTATTATCTTTATTAGATTTGGCACAGATCCTACCCCACCCAATGAAGGCAGCCTTCAAGCTCCTAGAGAGACTTGAATCCAAGTCCACGGAAATGGAAAGACAAAAAAATCCATTACTCAGTGGAGGTCCAGCAACTCTTTCCAACATGGGGAGTTGGGACAGGTGGACCAGTATCGGACATTAATTTCAAATAAATTTACAAAAAGAAAGAAGACATTAAATTATGGTATGACCTGCCACCAGACAGATTCAATGATTCTTGAGAAGATCCAAGCTTCGATCTTTTCCAATGCTGACGCAAATGTAGGAGGGTCCTCCCAGTCATCATAACTTGCAAATAAAGCACATTTCTTCTCCTTGCTCAAAGAGAACTCTGTCCATTTTAGTAGAGAAAATTGCTTCTGGTTTCCCTTCCTGCTACCAGTCCTCTCAATACAAGGTCTAGCAGAATGTGGTAATTGAGCTCTGCTTATGATAGCTCTCAGTACAACCAAATTTGATAACCAAAAAGTCAACCTGTGTTTCACAGTGTAGGAAAGTAAATGAGCTCTTAAGGAAAGAAAATGTAAAACATCCATAAAACAATAAATATGGTTAAACATCGTGCTTACCAATGTTCAATATTCACTCCTCAAGTTAGGTAGGTCTCTAGAGCTAGTTTCTAGATTTTCCTTCCTATTAGATTTTGTTCATTATTTCATCTAATAGAACAAGTGGTTCAAAAAAATAAATTATCATCATCCTATAAAATTGATAGGAACACTTGACGCAAATCAAATTGCCATACGAGCTATAAAAATTAAAAAGGTCACAGATTCTGATTTCTGCAACCAACCAATCAAAAAGATTTTATTTGTTGGTTCCAAAACGAACTTACATAAAAATAAAATAGGATGATGTATGGATGTGATGGATGTTTTCATGGGATTGGAACAAATATTGTTGTTTGAAAGTACCTTGGAACATCATTTCCACATGCTTTTGCGACCAAAACTAATCCGGAGGCAGCACTTCTAGCCACACTTGCTCTCCTTGATTGGGAACTCTCTTTGCAAGCATGAAGATAGAGCCTAGATAGGCGGCGAGCCGGAGCATGGACCTTATTTGTGGAACTTCCATGTTCTGCAACAACTGAGTAAAGGCTAATCTCAATCGCAGCAGCCTCTCTCAACTCTCCTTCAAGCATCTTTATTCTATGTTCCAGTTGTTGGATTCTACCATTAGAAGTGATGTTTTTTGTCTCCTTTGGATAAAGTTTGGTGTCATTTCTTTCATTGCTAACAAAGCGTAGAGGACCATTCTGAGCATCTCCCAACGTGCTACTCCTAACAGATCCATTGCTCCTACCTGATTCCACAAGTGATCGGACAGACTTCACATACTTCAACCTATCACTGTTTAGGATATTACCATTTACTCCAAGATTGTCCTCATTGTAAGATAGCACATCACTTCCCGCTGAGACTTGCTTCATGGTATCATCTTGTGAAAATCTATTCCACGGTTCATCTTCTACAGAATGCCAAGCATTACCGCTAATTTCACTTCCATCATTAGCAACCTTCTTCTCATCAACCTCCTGAATCAAACTGTCACAATCTTTGCTTCGAATGTTTGTGTTTACATCTTCCTTTGCACCTTCATAAGTTATAGATGAGGATGAAGATTCAACACTACGAGCACCAATTTTCTTTGCCACTGATGTCAAGCTTGTCTCGGGAAAATTGGATAATGTAGCCTGACCATTTTCTAGGCTGCCCCTATTAGAAGATAAGTCTGTTGATAATGAGCAAGATGAACTAACCTTCAAGATTTCCCACGGTTCATCCACAGACTTCATATCTAATTTTTCAAGTCCCTGCTTTGAAGTTAAGTGATGTTGGTTGTAAGCCTCTCCAGGGCTATCCTTAACTGTCTGTGAGCGGTTCTGTAATAGGAACATCAACTGATCATCAAATTATCTGAAACTGTGCAACTACAACTATCAAGAGAAGCCATGAAGCCAATGATCACCCGGAAGGTTGATATTAACCTAAACACAACATGCTATCCACTATGCCAGTGAACTGTTTCGCTACTACTTATATGGTTGGTTTATGTGTCAGGAAAGATGCAGAAATGCAGAAACAGGAACACACCTCATCAATTCATAGGACATAATTAAATGAAAGTTGTTGCAAAATGAACTATTGTTATTTAAATGAGGGTGGAAGTAGATATAGAGCATAATTAAAATGAAAAATGTTGCAAAATGAAATGAAAGATGTTGCAAAATGAAATGAAAGATGTTGCAAAATGAAATATTGCTATCAATATGAGAGTAGAAGTAGATATACCTCTTCACTGTTTGGGGACAAACCCCCATTAGTCTCAAAAGCTGAAGAAGAAACAGCCAGAGATGAGTGGGAGGAAACATCATCATCAGTAACTGATGCAATCTCAGCTTCCTCAGCATGTTCTTCGTTCACCAAGACAGAAGCAGACTCGCTACCATTTCTCTCCATGCATGCATCTTTAGATAGGTTGTCTCTGGATGAGAAGCTGGTGCGCCCTTTTTCAACAGACTGAATTTTAATAAACAGAAACGGTTGTGCTGCGTTGTTAAAGATCCTCTTGGAATGAATTGGAACACTTACACTCACAATCTCTTTAACGACACCATAGTCTGCCAGGTCTATAATGGCAGTTCCCAACAATTGACCTCTCACCGTCTTATCCCTCCGAGGTTCATACAAATTCAACTCTAAACAATTCTTCTGAAAAGTATCACCATCCCCACTTTTAGTAGACATTTGCCTTAATAGTGTCACGGGAAGCCTAAAAGACTCATTAAATTCAATTTTTCCATCGCCAACACCAGACCCAAGCAAAGGGACAACTGGGTTAGTAGACCCAGAATTCCTACCACCATGTTCCCATTGAATGAGAACGGAACGAAGGGTTCTCAGTGACTGAGATGGGGGCCAAGGTTTAACCTCATGAACATGAATCAGATAATCTTGCTGAACAGAAGGACTTTTCCTGTTTTTTGTCTTCTGTCCCATAACCATAATTACAGTAAAACTTGTACCACCCTGTTATGCAAGAACGTGGTTTCAATCACAAAATAAACAATAACAAAAAGAACAAGCACGCCTACGTCCACGGCAGAGAACAAACAAAATTCACTATAGGCAAGAAGGATTACAAGAACAACTCCGCAACTCTCTTTTTCTACTCCAGGCCTCAGCCCTCCGCCTCTGTAAAAGGCCCTTACAGTACTTTACAGTAAATACAAGACACCTCACAATACACCCCAAATGAGCAGGGTGATACAAATTCAATCACTAAACACCTAAACCCCCAAAAACAAAACCAGTCAGAATCAAATAAAGTGGAAAAGAATTAACCCATAAATTAAAAATAAAAATATATGCTTGGCTTAAAAGCTTTCTTTTGGGATTCAAGCTATTCCTATAGCTTAAAGCATAATAACAGGAAATATATATCCTCAATAAACATAAATGTGGGTTTCAGAAGAAGAAAAATCCACTACGATGTGCTCAGTTCATTAAAAAACAAGCAAAATTCATTATTCAAAAACGAAAAAGAAAAAAGAACAAATAGAAAGAAAAGGAAACTAAACAATAAATGAACTCACAATCAAATCCACAATCACTTGTTCATATATATATATATATACCTGAGTGAAATTGGTGCGCTTGAAGCTCAAACCACCGACACAGACAAGAAGAAGATGAGGATTCAGAGAAGAGGGAAAAAGATGAACATTGGCAGAGGCTTGAAGGACTGAAACATATCAGATCCGAGAATTAGAAACACAGTGAGATCGAAAGCTCATCAACCACAAACAAAGCTTCTACCATTGTCACCAACCGAACAAATTCAAACAACGTCCGTATCAAAATCAATATAGAACAAATCGTTTATATACTAACAAATACTAATGAGTAGAATGATATTCATAGCATCAAAATTTTACTTACTTTACAAGGAATTAAAAATAAAATGAGGGAAATTGAAACACTTTATATTGTGAATATCGTATTGTAAATATATGTGCAGAGAGAGAGAGAGACTGTGAGACGGTGAGCCTGGCGAGTGGAATAACCGCACTTTTTATCTTTTTATATAAAAATTTGTAGAAAAATAAAAAATTGATATGATAAAAAATAGATTAAAAAATAGATTATTTTAAAATTGTCAAATTTGGCCTAATTAGCCACAATATTCCAAAATATAAAACAACAGCAATGCTATATGTATTAAGTAGCCTATCAATTAGTATATCAATTAATAATGTGACATAATTTAAGAAATTTTTTATATTTATAATTTGTATAATGAGTTTAGTCAATAATAATGTCATAATTAGTGTTGGTATACTAGTTAGTACACTAAGGCCATATCTGATTCCGGTGGTGCTACATGCACCAATTAATGTACTAACTAGTATACTAACACTAGTTATAATATTATTATTGACCCCACTCATTAATTATATTACAAAATTCAAAAATCTCTTAAATTATGTCACGTCATCAATTAATATATTAATTAGTACATTAATTGGTGCATAAAACATTATTCATTTGATTCACAAGACTAATAATGAAGGTATTAATAATCTTATTAAATTAGTGTGGTATTCACTATTCAATTGGATTAGTAGAATAAATTATTCCCTAGCTCATTGTTTGATTTCCATTGAATAAAAAAACATACGAATGTAAAATTATAAGTATATTGATCTTCTACCCTTCATCAATCTTTCTTCACAATCTTTACTTTATCAAAATTTCTTCATAAAAGTGGTTTTGAAAAAAAATATAAATAAATAAATAAAAGCAAAATAAAAATACAAACGCCATGTTTGTTTGTTTTTTTTAAAATATAAACTACTTTGATAAAATAAATATCAAAAAATATTTTGAATTACAACTATGTTTATCTTCTTTTCCAATCTTACCCTTCATCAATGTTTCTTCACAATCTTTACTTTATCAAAATTTCTTCATAAAAGTGGTTTTGAAAAAAATTATAAATAAATAAATAAAAGCAAAATAAAAATACAAACGCCATGTTTGTTTGCTTTTTTTTTAAATATAAACTAATTTGGTAAAATAAATATCAAAAAATATTTTCAAAATTTTTAAAATTATTTTTAACCTTCTAAAATATAAAATTATATAAAAATAATAAATGTTTTAGTTTTTAGTCAAGGGTAAAAGAGTTTTTTTATTTTATTTCTCAACTCATGATATATAATTTCATTCCTACCCCATTATTAATAATTTTACAAATTTGTTGGATCAATTATCCATTAGATAAATAATTCTAAAACAAAATTTCAAAACAAATATAGGATTATTGGGTTCACGGATTAATAATCTCAATATTATACTCTAATCCTGTTAATCAAACATGCCCTAATTGGTGTATGTAACACCACTGATAAAATAAATCAACAACATATAAACTAAATAAATTTTGTTAATCTTTGTTTTTAGAGACAATTATGCTATATTCCCTAATATAGTTGTGGAATGTAGAAGATTCTCCATAGAGAATATGAGATAAGATGATCCTTTTTGTATTCTACAAAGAGAAACCAATTGATCAATGATCTCCCTGATCAGATTTGGTTGGGAAGACTCTCTGACGATCAAATTAGACATGAGATCGACAGTGTAATATTTATTTATGGAGATAAGCTTTATACTTATTTTCTTTTTGTTTCTTGTCATTTCTTTGCTTTCTCTTACTTTCTCTTTTACAGTGTTGTAGTCCTGGTCTTGATCGTTCGATCGGCATCTTCATATAGAGGTCCTGGTTATCGCCAAACTTTGGTCGGATAAGTGGCCTGGTTGTTTCGATCTTTTGTTGTTGGATTGCTTTACTGTGTGTTGCTCAGATTATATCAGGTCTCTTAAGGATAACCTACTAATTGCCTCATTTGTCCAATCATGTTCATCAATGACCATTTTGTTTATACGGGCTACGTCTATACACCTATCTCTAGCGATCATGATCTTCACCATTCGTTGTGGATTAATTTAATAACCCTTTTGCATTCTACAGATCTTTTTCTAGAAGGCGATTTTGTTTAGGCCTTACTCACGTGACATTGTCCCTTTCCCTATCGAATCCATCAATGGTTTGGGCCTTCCATGATTTAAGGTTGCTAGGTTGGACTTGACTTTTAGGTTTTGGGCCGAACATGTTTAGTCATTGGCCCAATATTTTCCCCTCTCCACAATAGTAAAATATCATTTCGACTTCTAATGAAGTGGAAAAGAGATGAAGAGATGAGAGATAAGAGAATGGTGCTATATTTCCTAATACATCACTCTTTTGACCTCTAATGAGATGAAAGGGAGAGATAAAAAGAGGAGTCTAGGTCCCCTTCATATGGTCCATTCAATTTCATTAGGAGTGGATTGGGAGTGCTTAATTAAAGCTTCCAAGCATTTTTTAGATATGAGGAATAAGGGTTCACCTCTTTACATAGTCCATTACATATCATTAGAGATGAATTAAAAGTGTTCAATTAATTCTTCCAAACATTTTTTCATGTTAAGATGTTTAAAAAGATCATACATCACCTTGAAAGTGAGTATACTAAAAAATATGCAAAATCTTTTAAGTTTTCTTAATATATATCCTAAGGTTACATGTTAACAAAATTTAAATTAAATATAATATTAAGTGGCATTTATGTCAAATAATAACAGAAACTCGAGTCAGAGGTCTATTCCAGTAACTATCGAGTTAATAAGCCCAAGTTTAAATATTTTGTTATCTATTTGTTCAATACTTACATATATGTATATGTTCAGAAGTTATATACTTGTACACGTAACACCAACATTTCCAATTATGTGTTCAAATCTCACCTATTGGTACACGTATTGCCCACCTATTCACCTATCTGTTCAATGTTACTTATTTGCCCACTTCACTATCACCAATCGCCACTGTTGACCACCGTCATAAATTTTTCTAACTAATTTTTCGACGTTGATAACTTTTTTACACGCATCTTTCTCACAACAAAAATATATATATTAAACCTTAAATTAAACAATATATGATCCCATTTCACCACCCAATGACAAAACTTAGGTAATATTTTGTATTTTAGTTGGTACTTTTGTTTGTATATCAATTAATATTTTTAACATTAGTGAACATGAGGTGGCGCGTAGAATAAATTGGGAGGTGGTTCATTTGACTAGAACCTTTATACTGATTTGTAGTTTAAAATTTTCTACCCACATATGTTGTTTCTTATATATTTATTAGGATTTTTTCTCATACATTAATTATGTGTTGTATTCTATTTTTATTATTATGATTGTACTCCTATTCCTTTTTGTTAATCCTAAGCAATTCCTATTAAATGATTAGAAATATATGTTTTTTTAAATTAGGATTATTGGAGCAAATGCTTTGAAATTTAAATTAATACAATAATTACATGCTTTCTACTATAAAAAAGAGAGGATAAGAACTCTTGAATTTCATTAACTTATTTTTTTTGAAAAACGTCGCGTATGCACGCTTTCCTTTTTTGTTTCGGAATTTGGACGGCACGACATGATGTTTTGCGAGTAAGCTGAGATATTTTTGATCTCTATCGAGTAATAATGGATTATGGAGCAGCTTAAAAAGTTAGATTTTAATAATTTTTCTAAGAAATTTTCTAAAATGTAAATGCTAATTTAAAAAAAAAAAATTAGCCATTTAATCATACAGAATAGAAAGAAAATTGTTAATGTCATATGTCTTCTCAAAATAATGTGAAAAAATGTGTCGCATCAAATTTTATTTATTTACTTTTGTAATGATACATGTTTTTTAATAGAAAAGGTCCTTCTTGGCAAGTTATTTTTTAGCTTCTTTTTTTATATTATTAAAATAGTTAATAAAAATAAAATAGTACATCCAATTCATAATTATTTTATTTTTTTTTTCATAATTATCAAATTAACTCAAAAAAAATAAAATCAACTATCTTTCCGAATACAATTATTTTAGCCAACTAAAAATAACCAAAAAACTAAATAACCAACTAAAATAATTAACTTCCAAATAGGGCTATGAATAATTTTCAACTTCTAAATCACTCCTTTAGTAGATCGTGTAATACATGCTCTGGGTTTGTTATATAGGGTGTCTATTACAAAAATGACTTATTTATAATTTATTTTAATTTAAGAGTTTATATTAAATTATTTTGGTATAGTTTTTGGATACGATTTGCTCCATAGAAATAAATTAAATAAATTCAAAAAATTAATTATCTTGAAATTAGGGAGAGATAATTTTAGCTTATGTTTTTTTTTATTACCATTAATTTTTAACTTACTATAAATTATGACCCTGTTTGGGGATTTTATTTTTTTATTAAAATAATTAATAAAGACAAAAAAATATTAAAATAGTTAATAAAATAAGGGAGTAGCTTCCCTCTCGTTCTAGATCGAATTGGGGGATATTGTTCAGCCTGTGGAGGCCTATCACGGGTTCCGTTTCGATAATCTAAATTGTTAATGTGTAGAACTCGTCAAGTATTATATGCTTATAGCCAATCATGTTGATCGGATATCGATAGCTATGTGATCAAATTAGTTTTGTATAAAAAAAAGTAAACGGTGAACAAATTAACGATTGACAAAAAACTGATTCGATAAGATAGTTATCGATATCCGATTAAAGTAATTTTTTATAAGCATATAGTAGTCGACGAATTTTACATATTGAACGATTTTCATTATTGAAACGGAACCCGTGATGGATCTCCACAGGCCGAACAGCACCCTCCAGTCCAATCTAGGATTGGAGGAAAGCTGCTTCCATAAAATAAAATGTCACATCTTACCTATCATCTTTCGCAACCATTTATTCAATGGCAAAAAAATCACAAATCATCCAAAACGTAACTTTTTTTTCCATATCATAAAATAGTCAAAAAATCAACTAAAATAGTCATGTTCGCAAACGGGCCGTATACTGAACAGTTAGGTCATGTTTGTTTGGCCCCATAGGTTGGGGATTGGACTATCAATCATGTGAGTCC